CTCCCGCTGCTCCTCTAGACCTTAAACATCATATTATATATTACTTCCACATCAGCTCCCATCAGTGAATGTGACATATAAAGACTGAAAGAGCGTGACTGTTCACAGGAATATGAGGTGTCGCTCGTCTCGGGGTCATGTGATGCGTGAGGTCACAGGAACACATGACCTGTGGGATCCAGCGGCCGCAGTATCAGCTGTCAGAGCGTTTAACAGCTCCATCCTTTCAACACTATTTCAAAATAATTTCCTCACTTATTTGTAAGGTGACACCAGACGAGCGCGAGCCTGCGGCGCTTTACACAGCGTTCACACCGAACCCGAGACGACAGGAACACCGATGAAGACGCTTTTGTTCCGCGGTGGCTTTAATGTGTCTTAATGGAGAGACGCGTTATGTGCAGAAACACCAGAGGACAGGCTCCGACAAACACAATCGCTTACTTCTCTTCATTCAGTCAACTGCTCGAGTGTGTTCTCTCGGGTGTTCTGGGTGGCTTCTCAGTGATCCTCTGAACCGCAGCTGTTTCTCAGATTCATCTTTCATTGTGTCTGTGGGTTTTTTCCGCTGTTTTCTGGTGAAAATGGTGCGTCTCTTAGTAAAGCAGCATCTCGCTCTCCTCAACACACACATGATCTGAGGCGTTTGTTCAATCACACACACGCATGTGAGATGTAGAGATCTCAGTCTGGTGAGTGTGTTTCTGTGGTTATTGTGTGGTTATTGTGGATCTCAGAGCCGCGTCCGCCGCTCTTATCTTTGAACTGATAAGAGAAATATGTCATGTTAGCAGAGTCTCTGAATCAACAAGGCCACACACACACACACAACATTCACTGCAGCGCCACCTACTGCTGACACACATGAACACGTGTGAGAAACACAATCAGAGCAGATCTACCCACAGCTTGTTCAACTCCACCGGAAAAATCTAACTATAGAATTACACAGCTCTTTATATAACGTTGGATATATAAGCATGTCTCCAGCATACATGTATAGCTAATCTCACTAGACTGATTGTTTTTTATATATTAAGTCACATAGTCACAATACAATGAGTATTATGAAAATAGCTCTTGAGGTTTTATAAAGGTAAATTTAGGACTTCTTAAAGACCATTTTAAGACTAATCAAAGACAATTGAAGGAATAAATTGAAGGTAACACAATACATCACAATGGTCTCTAAATGTAAATGTCAAGGCAAAACACAGTGAGATGTTTTAGCAACAGTTTGAAAATACAACTTCCAACAGATTTCCATTACATTTAAATCATTTTACAAAAAAAGCTAACTAGAATTAACTAGAATATGGAAAGACCTTTTACTATATCTCGCACTGCACAAAAAATGCAGTTCTTCCTCAGTATTTTTGTCTTGTTTTCCAGTGCAAACGTCTAAAGATTCTTGAATCAAGATGAGAAATTGATCAAAATGAAGTGAGTTTATGATCAGAACAAGAACAAATATCTGTCGATGGAGAATGAAAACTCGTTTTCTCTTTGAAATAAGTTCATTTTTCTGACTTCATCGACAGATATTTGTTCTTGTGTTAAAAATAAATTCACATAATTTTGTTTAATTTCTCAGAAAATAAGAAATTTTTCATCTCCAGTAAGCGTATCTTGATTTAAGGATGTTTAGAAATTAGTACTGCAAAATAAGACAAAATACGGAGGAAGATATTAATGTTTTGCAGTGTGTGCAACATTTAATGCCACGACTTTATGAATTTAAGACTTTCTGATCTGATTTAAGAACTTTTTAATGTTGATTTAAAGGGATAGTTCACCCCAAAATGAAAGTTCTGTCATTAATTACTCACCCTCATGTCGTTCCAAACCCGTAAGACCTTCGTTCATCTTCTGATCACAAATTAAGATATTCTGATGAAACCCGAGAACTCTCTGAGCCTCCATAGACAGCAATCCATCCTTTCAACACTATTTCAAAATAATTTCCTCACTTATTTGTAAGGTGACACCAGACGAGCGCGAGCCTGCGGCGCTTTACACAGCGTTCACACCGAACCCGAGACGACAGCAACACTGATGAAGACGCTTTTGTTCCGCGGTGGCTTTAATGTGTCTTAATGGAGAGACGCGTTATGTGCAGAAACACCAGAGGACAGGCTCCGACAAACACAATCGCTTACTTCTCTTCATTCAGTCAACTGCTCGAGTGTGTTCTCTCGGGTGTTCTGGGTGGCTTCTCAGTGATCCTCTGAACCGCAGCTGTTTCTCAGATTCATCTTTCATTGTGTCTGTGGGTTTTTTCCGCTGTTTTCTGGTGAAAATGGTGCGTCTCTTAGTAAAGCAGCATCTCGCTCTCCTCAACACACACATGATCTGAGGCGTTTGTTCAATCACACACACGCATGTGAGATGTAGAGATCTCAGTCTGGTGAGTGTGTTTCTGTGGTTATTGTGTGGTTATTGTGGATCTCAGAGCCGCGTCCGCCGCTCTTATCTTTGAACTGATAAGAGAAATATGTCATGTTAGCAGAGTCTCTGAATCAACAAGGCCACACACACACACACAACATTCACTGCAGCGCCACCTACTGCTGACACACATGAACACGTGTGAGAAACACAATCAGAGCAGATCTACCCACAGCTTGTTCAACTCCACCGGAAAAATCTAACTATAGAATTACACAGCTCTTTATATAACGTTGGATATATAAGCATGTCTCCAGCATACATGTATAGCTAATCTCACTAGACTGATTGTTTTTTATATATTAAGTCACATAGTCACAATACAATGAGTATTATGAAAATAGCTCTTGAGGTTTTATAAAGGTAAATTTAGGACTTCTTAAAGACCATTTTAAGACTAATCAAAGACAATTGAAGGAATAAATTGAAGGTAACACAATACATCACAATGGTCTCTAAATGTAAATGTCAAGGCAAAACACAGTGAGATGTTTTAGCAACAGTTTGAAAATACAACTTCCAACAGATTTCCATTACATTTAAATCATTTTACAAAAAAAGCTAACTAGAATTAACTAGAATATGGAAAGACCTTTTACTATATCTCGCACTGCACAAAAAATGCAGTTCTTCCTCAGTATTTTTGTCTTGTTTTCCAGTGCAAACGTCTAAAGATTCTTGAATCAAGATGAGAAATTGATCAAAATGAAGTGAGTTTATGATCAGAACAAGAACAAATATCTGTCGATGGAGAATGAAAACTCGTTTTCTCTTTGAAATAAGTTCATTTTTCTGACTTCATCGACAGATATTTGTTCTTGTGTTAAAAATAAATTCACATAATTTTGTTTAATTTCTCAGAAAATAAGAAATTTTTCATCTCCAGTAAGCGTATCTTGATTTAAGGATGTTTAGAAATTAGTACTGCAAAATAAGACAAAATACGGAGGAAGATATTAATGTTTTGCAGTGTGTGCAACATTTAATGCCACGACTTTATGAATTTAAGACTTTCTGATCTGATTTAAGAACTTTTTAATGTTGATTTAAAGGGATAGTTCACCCCAAAATGAAAGTTCTGTCATTAATTACTCACCCTCATGTCGTTCCAAACCCGTAAGACCTTCGTTCATCTTCTGATCACAAATTAAGATATTTCTGATGAAACCCGAGAACTCTCTGAGCCTCCATAGACAGCAATGTAACTGAAATGCTCCCAGACCCAGAAACATAGGAAGGACATCAGTAAAACAGTTCAATTTCAATTTTGCGAAGCTACGAGAATACTTTTTGTGTGCAAAGAAAACAAAAATAACAATTTATTTGACAATTCTTCTCCCCGAGTTACAGTCTTCTGCTATTTTGGAGAGTATCACGACGCATGTGTGTGCTTTCTCCAGAACGTAATCAACATAATCAGCATTTTACGTTTGTTTACGTTCAGGAGAAAGCGCGTGTATGCGTCGTGATTAGTGCGGTCAAATGATTAATCTCGATTAATCGCATCCAAAATAAAAGTTTTTGTGTACATAATATATGTGTGTGTACTGTGTATATTAATTATTTATATATATATATATATAAATATACACACATGCATGCATATATTTCAGAAAATTATGTTATGTTTATATATTAAAAGTATTTATATATAATATCAATTATATGAATATAAATATATACATATAGATACATGTTAATATTTTCAAAATATATACTGTATGTGTGTGTATTTATATATACATAATAAATATACACAGTACACACTAGGCTTGCCGTGATAGACGGTTAACACCGGTTACGTCACTTGCCCACCGCGGCACCGACCCCCACCGTCATTTAGATTTTTTATAGTAATAAAAATCATTTAGTTCAGTAAAAGAACAGACACTACAATTAAAAACTGAACGCGGCTGCTCATTGCAGCGTGCCGAACGACAGTCGCATCACAGATCAGATTTCATTTCTCCAGTGAGGAGAGTGAGTCGAGCTGACTGACAAGAAGAGTGAGGTGAGGACAAGACGAGTGAGGCGAGACTGACAAGAAGAGTGGGGTGAGACAGACAGAGAGGGGCGAGACAGACAAGAAGAGTGAGACGAGACAGACAGAGAGGGGCGAGACAGACAAGAAGAGTGGGGCGAGACAGACAGAGAGGGGCAACGATATGAGGGTGAGTAATTAATGACAGAATTTTCATTTTGGGGTGAACTATCCCTTTAAGACTTTGAAGCCCACAGAAACCCTCTGTACAAGTAAATTTGATTGACATGAGACATGTGAAAAGTTTCTGTTCACTGCTGAACGCTTCTCATCATGAGCGTGAGCAACGGCTGAAGCGCACGTGTGTGTGTGTGTGTGTGTGTCTGTGTGTGTGAGAGAGAGTGAGTGTGTGTGTGTGTGTGTGTGTGTACCTGTTTTTCTATTCTGGTGGGGACTTAAACCTGAATACACACAGACTCATGGGGACTCGTGTCACGGTGGGGACCTAAATAAATGTGTGTGAGAGAGAGTGTGTGTGTGTGTGTGAGTGGTCACGTGTGTTGCGTGTCACCTGCGGCGTGTGTCCCAGCAGGCTCCACAGCGCGTCTGTGATCACACTTCCTGTTCTGCTGAACTCCAGCAGCTCTGTTTCCTGTCGGTTGAGGGCGAGATGCTGGCAGCCCTGGAAGTCTCCGGCGATCTCCTGACCGCTGCTCATCTGCAGCACATCCCAGGTGCCCAAGAGCTCCAGCCGCTCCCGCACCGCCCGCATCTGCCCATACGACAGGTGACCTGCGCATCACAGAAGCTTGCTTATCTTAGGTCTTAACTTAAAATATGATACGTTAAATTAGGATTTTCCCAAATTCATATTACGGAAGAAAATCTTAACTTGATTTGGGATTCTTATCCTAATTTACAAAATCGTATCTTATCTCTAGTTAGGAAATCTTAAATTGCATCAAGTTCGACAATCCACTCTCAGGTCTGTTACCAAGCAACCAACACCGTGCAAGCTGCTGATGAGGTGAACACGATGGATAAAAGAACGGCAAGGTTTTAATTTCACTGCCACGGAAATTGAAACTTTGATAAGTTCTGTAGAAAAGGCAAAGCCGATACTATTTGGTAAGTTTTCAGCTTCACTCACGAAGACAAACCCTAGTGAAAAAAAGTGCACTTCCATAATGTACTTAAAGCGAGCTATTTTCGGGCACTAATTTTGTATTTAATATACTAAAAACGATTCTTTAGTAGTACTTAAGATCATCTAAGTGCACTCAACTGTGCTATTTTGGGACACCGTGAATATGAACTAAAATGCACTTTTAACACACTATCTCTATTTAAAAAATGTATTTAGTCACCACTTGTAGTACACTTGAGAGTACTAGTGTATGAAAGATGGGTTCAAGTGTACTACAAGTGGTGACTAAATACATTTTTTAAATAGAGATAGTGTGTTAAAAGTGCATTTTAGTTCATATTCACGGTGTCCCAAAATAGCACAGTTGAGTGCACTTAGATGATCTTAAGTACTACTAAAGAAACGTTTTTAGTATATTAAATACAAAATTAGTGCCCGAAAATAGCTCGCTTTAAGTACATTATGGAAGTGCACTTTTTTTAACCTGGGAAGACGGAGGAGGCAAAAAGAGTCTTTCTACCATTAAACATCGCTGTTCTTCATTTTCAATTATTACTAAATGTAAAACCATTGTTGGACAGCACATATATATTGTATATATACTGTAAGCGGTTTTACCATTAGCTTTCAAATAATATTGAAGTTAGGACAGCTGTGGTGGTGCCCTAAAGCTAAGACAGTTTCAGGACTTTTGTCAAGTTTCTGTAATACCCTTATCTATCTTCCTATCTGTAGTTAAGATAATACTGTTCTGTAATAGCTTTTGCCCTAAATGTGGTCCTAACTGAAATGACCACGGTTACCAAACAGATAAGATGAGATTTTAAAGTTAGGATCTTTCTGTATGACGCCGCAGGTGAACCAGAGCAGAACCCCCGCCGAAGCTCCGTCTGTCTTTATCAGACGCACCGGAGATCCAGGACGGCGTGAAGGCGTCGGAGAGCCAGGACATGTATCCCTCACGCAGCGAGCGCAGGAACGGCTCCACGTCTGCGCAGGACAGCAGCTGCTCCGTCTGCAGCAGATCCGCGCTCAGCACACAGTCCGCAGACAGGAACAGCACTCTGGGAATGAAGAGATTGGGCCGGAGGTTCAGCCCGCAGCGCTTCATGTGGCTCTGCAGGTTGCTGGTTTTCTCCTGCAGACACAGACACCAGCAGACCCACATCATCTGCTGAAGACACTGATCACAAACACACTGAATGTGACGGAGGACCTGATCACATTCAGATTCAAAACGCTCAAATACTAAATAATAAGCATATCAGGGACAGTAAAGATCCATTTCAAAAAACACAAAATGACAATCAAAAAGCTGTAATTACTTTATACAGTATATTTGCAGTTTGTAAAAATGTAAACAAATCCGCTTAGAAAATGTTAAAAAAATATATGGTAAACATATTACAGCTTTATTTATCATATGTTCTCATACTGATTTTGTTTAATTTTTGTAATGTGTTTTTGTAAAGTCCTGTGCTTGCTATTTGCAGTGGTATGATTTACTGTTTGTCATTGTGTGATTTTTGGTGAATTTTATAAAACCCTGCAAACATTATAATAATTATTAATTATAATAATAGTGTTTTACGGTGGTCGAGAGAGCTCAACGCGCTGCAAATTAAGAAAACATCTTCATCAGTTTGACAGCACATGTGCTGCAAATACTCACAAATACAAACGCGCTGCGGAAACAGAAACGCTGGAGATATGCACAGACCACATCAGAAATGTTTAAAGGAACCGCAACAAGTGACAAACCTGGCTGGGACATGCTTAGCCTAAATAAGCTGACGAAGTACACAGTTACTGTAACTGTGAAACATTATGTACTTTTACAACTTTCCTTACAAAAATTAACCTTGGTTTTACTATTAAAATAAATAAATAGGCTAAATAAATAGCCTATAAGCCTATATATCATACATGTTTTTTATTATTATGTGACCACCCTGCATGGAGTTTGGGTCACAAAAATATTAAATTATTTGTATATATTTGGTTTTATATCCATGTATGTCTATTTCTATTTGCATGTGTATATAAGTTTAATTTAAACTAGATAAAAAAGTTTGTCAAGACTTAAGTTGGCTTGAGAAAGTCTGACCAGAAAGTTAGAAAAAGTTTTAAAAGCTAGAAGTTTGAAGTTTTTCAGTTTGAAGTAGTTTGGAAAGTAGTTTTAAGGGTTAAAGTTGATAGACAGACAGACAGATACAGTATTCTGGGTTGTTGCTAGGGCGTTGCTAGGACGGTTGCTATGCAGTTGCTAGGGCAGGGTTTCCGCGGGGTCTTAAAAAGTCTTAAATTGTACAAGAAAGTCTTAATTATGATTTTTCAAGTGGTCTTAAATTTGGGGACAGAAAGACCAGAATGGCGATATGGCTGAATGTGATGAATAAACTTCAAAAGGCTAACGTTATGATTTCATTAAATAAACACGAGCGCTGCAGGTTCAGAGTCCGGTCCCAGATAGCAAGAACGTTTGGGCCAAATGTGGCTGATAGCTGTCACATTTGGCCTAGGTATGGCATGGCTGAGCACATATGGGCCAAACTTTAGGAAACAGTCATATTTCTACCAAACGCTCCACCTGCTGGCAGAGAATGAATGAGCATTTCCAATAAAACTCTAGTTTTGTTCAGAGTTCAGACCAATGCGAAAATCCACCCATGTTTTACCCTGCAAACACACAGAGCTTTAAATGTGAACTGGTGGATCGATAAGAAGACAATGCATTATAAAAATCTAAACATAGGAGTGTGCGATATGTATGGTCAGCGATAATATCGTAATTGTTGTTTTAACAAAGTCTGTTAAAATGCATTTAGAATTATCCCATAATATAAGATATGGGGCAGAAAATGTATATATTTATATCACTTCATATAGTTAATATCACACGAAGAGTGCTGTATTATTTCTCCAAAAGTAAGCATTATCACAAATGTGATATTGATTTTATACAACAGTTCAATAAACAAGTAGTTAATATTAAGAGACTTACGTTTTAAACACCATATTTCCTGTTTTTGCTCTATTTCTCCAACAAAAATAATTCCAAACACATCCACAGCTCTGTTCTGCGTCTCTGAGCAACGTGACGGTGATTCGTTCCTGAATGAATCACTCGTTTAAATGATTCGGTTCAGTCGCAATGACTCACTTATTAACAGTGACTTGCTGCCACCTACTGGCGGTTTTAATTTCACATTTAAGGTACCTTTTCATTTTTTAAATAATTTCAAACATCAGTTTTCAATGTTTTATGTTTAAAATGTCAAAACATTATTTATGCATTTGTAATTGCAGGTTAAAGTATTTAATGTCCCTCAGAGCCGCATTAAACAGTGTGTAAACGCATCTAAATATCACTTCAGACGCAGCTTCTGTGTTTCCTCTGCGCTGCAAAGATACATTTTGTTGATACTGATTAATTTGCTTGCTAACAGCCCAAATGCAAGAATTTAACTCAAAAGATGGTGCACACTTTTAGAAAAAATGGCTTAAAGGTAAAAATGCCCATAAAACTTGTTGGAAATTATTAATTTCTATCACTGCTGTGAACTGACCACACAGAAGATGAAGAATATCAAAACTTTAGGAGTCAGCTGTCCACGGTAGTCCAAGATATCAGCACAATAACACACTCAGCAAAATATCGTCTAATTATCGTTATCGATAAAATCCCAGAAAATTATCGAGATATCATTTTTTGACAATATCGCAAACCCCTAATTTATGTTATTTAATTGATATAATTATTGTTAATAATTGTTAATAATTAATATAATAATTAATACTTTTGACTCATCCATTTTCTTAACAATGGTTTAAAGGCTGAAATGTAAAGTTTATCATTTTATAAAACTTTTTATAAAAGTTTGTGTTTTTGTGAAAATTTGTATCTG